ACACTGGCATGGGTTTCAGGCTTCAGATACTTCTTCAGAAGTGCTGCAGTCAGAGGCCAGCTGGAAGGATGTTTGGGAATGAGAGGAGACTGAAAGAAAGGAAGCTGCCATTCAAAATTCAAAGCACGTCTCGTTTGAAAGCAGCCGACTAGAGGGGCGTTGATCAAGAGAGACATATCTTGTTTGATCACTTCGCTCTACAACTGAAGCTTTTGCAGGCTTCATCCTCCTTTGAGCAGGCGCTGACAGAAGAGGCTGGTCAGTGCATGTCGGCAACAACACCAACAACAGCATGGACCCAGCAGAAGATGAGCTTTGCAGTCAGGTGAAGTACACACGTCTTTTACACTTGTCCTTGGCAGTGACACAGGTTAACCGCAATTCGAGGCAGTTTCCTGCTTTTGAACATCTTGTGAGGAGAATTTGTTTTCCGCCTAGAAATTCAAGTTCAAAGTGGGAAGAAACTGTTTTGACAGAGCCAATGGAAGGTTGAGATTCAAATGATGTTGCAGGTGCTGAAATTGGCCGAAACAGCACGACTCTGTATGTGAAGTGCTACATGCAAGTAGTTTGAGTGGTCAATGCAGGGTTGGGTTGGCGTTGGCTGTCGAAGTAAGTTGTGAGACATGCTGTGCCGGGCTTTCTCCAAACCGGCCCCAGTTTTTGGGTGGCTTTGCGCTGGCATTGGTTCCAGGCTGCCGCTACTTCGACAGACGCGCCGAAATCAGAGGCCATTTGGAAGGATGTTGGGGCATGAGAGGAGACTCAAAGAGAACAAGCAGCTATTCGGATGCACAAAGCGTGATTCCCCTGAATCTTGCAGCCAACCAGAATGGAGAGGAACATGCTCGATCAGACAGGGGCATCTTGATGCGCAACATGTTTCTACTACAACAAAATCTGGTCGTTTGACAAGCACCATTGATGCCGAAGTGGTTTGCAAGGCAACCCATGAGTGGTGCAGTAGGGTATATTCAACTTCTGCAGGCTTCATCTGCCGCTGAGCAAGTGCCAGAAGAAGAGGCTGGTCCCTGACAAAGCACATAGTTTGAGTGGTCAATGCAGGCGTAGTGTTGGCTGTCGAAGTCAGCTGTGCCGGGTTTGCTTCAAACTGGCCACAGTTGCTGGGCGGTATTGGCAAGGGTGGCTGCATTGCATTGGTTCCAGGCTGCCGCTACTTCTGCAGAACCGCCGAAATCAGAGGACTTCTGGTATGGCTGCGGTGCAGTAAGAGCATGATGTCTAAAAATCCCAGGAATTTTCCTCTTGACAAGCTTGGCGAGTTTAAGCAGATGACAGTCCTGAAATGTGGCTGCCCATTTTCCACATTCCTGGCAGGATACTCAACCAGCTCGCGATACATCAAGATGACCAAGCAAAAAGTATGTGAACAAAATTTGTGTGAATGTCCTGAGATTCGTCTCGCATATTGAGAGCATTCCCCAAGAAGTGCGCAACAATAAGGGGTTCTTACGGTAAGAGCTAAGACGAGTTTGATTGAGGGCTGCCACCTGAAATTGCGGCAGTTATCGCAACAAGTTTTCTTCGATGCGACCGTCGCGCACGAAATCTGCGCTCTCGCTGCGGCGCATGGTGCGCGGAGGCTGCAGCAGTGTTTGTTGGCCAGGGTATCGTGCTAAACGCGCTTTGGTAAGAGCCAAGCAGGGCCATGAGGCAGCGAGGCTGCAGCTATGTTTTTTTGCAGGAAGCATCGAAACAAGTGCGTTTTTTGTTGTTGTAAGAGCTAATTCTGATGGTAGGGCCATGAAGTGCGGAGGCTGCAGCATTGTTCTGCGTCGGGACATGACATTGGGAGAGTCGCAGTTCCACATCCGATGCGGTTGTGGTAGAAAGTTGTTTTGAGCGCGCCAGTCTCGTGCGAACCTCACATTTTACAGAATTGGACTCTTGCTGTGTTGCCATTTCGATTTTCGGACACGTGTTGATGGCTTGATTCCATGGCCAGCGTAGCAATTTGTGAGATCGGCTGCAGATTTTGTGGCAGGAGTAGCATGTTGTACGCTGACGCGAAATAGATGTCGCGGCAGGCGCAGCATTTAATAAAGAGGTGCTGTGAATATCGTGGCAGGCGCAGCATTCTATGAATTTGCAAGTTTAGCGAGACGAAAGTGAGCCCTCTTCGGATTTCGGGCTGGTTAAATCGCTTTCGCAGTGGTGCGGCGCAAATTTTGAAAGACGAAAGCCAACCTTTGCGGGCCTGAAGCTGGTCGAATGGGCGTGCAGCTCGAATCTCATGACTTTGAAGTGAGAGAGCGGTACACAAAGTCCACTTTCACAGCTCCAGCTTGAAAGTTTGAAGCACGAAAGTCGTAAGCGAAGGCCACTTGCAAAAACGAAGACACTGCAGAGCTTGGTTGGTTGAATGCTCGCAGTTGTGGCGCTCGAGCAATTTCCATTTCACAGGAGGTGGGTGAACTCTGTGCGAAGAAGATCACAGACACAGACACAGACAGCAGACATACACATTGATGTGTGCGCGTGCAGACAACATGCCAATACATGAAGCGGGGCGTATCGCTGGCCTTGCAAGGCTGGCTTTTGGGAGCCCCAAGCCCCAAGCACAAATCGCTGTGAGTTCTACCCACGAGCCCTGGTGCAGTTAAGATGCCAGGAATAGAGAGACGCACCACAGCTGTGATGCCCCAAGACTACTCTCTTGGCGCGCGACAATTTGTCAGAAATATGTCTATATTTCTCACAGAGGCATATGTCCGTATATACAAATGTACATATTATATATATATATTTACACATACACGCTGAATGCAACATAGATGTAAAGAGAGACTTTGACTTGATACACTACATTAATACGTGTAGAATGGGCACACACTCTTTGAGAGTTGCTCGGGGCGGGAAGATAGAATTGAGAGGTAGATGGGGGGATTGGGTGAAGCATAGCTGCCGCACCACACCAGCGCTACCATCACGCAAAGAAACCAACGATGCAACAGGACAATGACGCGGGCGGAGCCCCAAGCAAGGCCCTGCAGGTCAGTGGGCCTGCAGGTCAGTGACGTAAGTATTTACCAGCCTGTGTGTGCTGTAGGAACCACAACTCAGCGCCTGTGCTCGCTTTGGTGTTGGCTATGCCATCGAGCTCGCTACGGCAGCCGCCACGCGAGGCCGCAACCAGGGCCACAAGGAAGACAACCATACTAATGCCAATGCCTTCCGAGCCTGAAAAGGTTCACAAAGCAACCAAGCAAGCTGTGTGCGACCCATTGCGATTCCATGACAAGACGATTGTCTCAGGACCTCTTTGCAACAACACTTGATAGTTAAACAAAAGGAAGCCCACATATATTCCAATCCAAGAGCACGGCTATTGACTGACAAAGTGCCAAGCTGGGGATTGGGATGCAGTTTCAAACGAGTGCAGTTGCAACCTCCAAATGCCTTCACATGTAGTTGATGCTGACGATGCTTTCGAACAACCGCCAACCCTGATCTGAAACAGCATGAAGTGAGCAAACTACAGATGTTCTGGACCGACCTTGAGAATGCAGGGATCGATGCAGGGGATGCAGAATCCGCGCATCCGAGGCAATTCGCCCGGCGATGCAGGTGAAACGCAGGGTTTGCGTCTGACAGGGACACCGAAGCAAGCCTGGACTGCTTCTGCGGCAGAACTTGCGATTTCTGGAAGAAACGCCTCCCTGTTTCACGAAGCGAGGCAACAGAGCGCAAATGCGCGAACCATCAGCAAAGCAAGGTTCCGGTGCTTTGAGTGGCTAAGTGTTGCAGTTTCTGGATCGAAGGGAGTTGGCAGGCAAGAAACGCAAATCACAACTCACCAAGCACCATCTTTGCATCGCTCTCGAGCACGCCCCAATGAACACATAAAGACACCAAGTTGACCTAGTTTGTACTTGATACCGCAAGTGTTTGGCGCTCATGAATGTGACCTTATGTTCACTTGACAGGGAAGCCAAGCATTTGGCACGCCCCTGGCTACCTGACATTCGACACATACGTCTGCAAAACAGTTTTGAAGCACGAAGTTGAAGCTTGCTTTGGGTGCTGTGACACCGGTGGTTGCATGTGACGCAGCTCTTGATGCGTCACCCACTTGTGCAGCTGCAGCCGCCCACAGATGGCCAACTGTCCAGCTGTTTTAGTGCCGCACTCCTAGCCTTTTTGATTCCAAAGCTGCACCTATGTGTTTGTGGGGGTGCTGTTGAGGTGGACCGGATGGCTGGCTGAACGCTGCAGTTGATGACCTAGCCACAGCAAAATGCAGCGAAGCACTTGCAGGAGGCCAGGTAGGGCACTCAAGAATGGCATGTTATCATGGCAAGCGGGTTCCTGATAGTTGGTCAGCAAAATATCGCCATGGAAGCTTGTCGAACATTGGGCAGTTCGTACTCAGCATATTCTTTGCATGAAACTCACAACCCCGGATTCGGTCAACTCTGCACAAACACAGGGTGGGAAGCCCCTTACGAGACCTTGGCGCTCCCTTTCTGAATCGCAGGATCATGAAGGCGGACTAGTCGGCGCAGCCAAAATGTTCGAAAACTGTTGCAGGAGACACAGCCAATTTTGCGCGACGGGTTTGCATTCGCGCCCTTGACCTTTCTCGCTGGCAGAGACAGCTAAATTGTTTTCTCTCTCTCTCTCTCTCGCTCTCTCTCTCTCTCTCTCTCTCTCTCTCTCTCTCTCTCTCTCTCTCTCTCTCTCTCTCTCTCTCTCTCTCTCTCTCTCTCTCTCTCTCTCTCTGCACGTAAACTATTTCAATTGGCCGGAATGGGTGGCAAGGAAATACAGATTTGACATCATGCTTGTATTTCGCCTGAGCGTTCTCAAGGCACGGATTCATGAGGAGGGCTGCGCAACATGAATATGTACCACATTGGTTCATTACATCATGCTTAGTTTTGAATGTAGGGACATGCAGTTCACTTTCTTGGGAGGCTGTTCCACACCAGCCAAGGGTTGCTCAATTCCGTCCACGTGAGCCACCAGCCAAGCCCCTGGTCTTAACAGTGCAGAAAGGGTCCCGGCCCGGTCTCCGCTGTGCCATGGGGCAGTGCACCACTAGAGAAGCAAGTCCGCCAGTTCTGCCTGCTTCAGGCCAGTCTGAGCGCTGTGCCTTGCAGAGTACCCCCCTGGAATGATTCTGGGGGCAATGAGACGACCAAAAATAGAAGCAGCATTTGAAGATGACACATCCTTGCATTCGATTGAGCAGAGCCTGCGCGACTTTGCGACTTGTTGGACTGGCCCAGGTATTCATCAGTGTAGGGGATCTCGTCGTTTTGCTGGTTTCGTTCGGGAGGTTTCAGAGAGGGGTGGGGATTAGACTTTCTTTCAAATGGATGCCTTCTTCTAACTTTTCAATATCGTTACCTGACATGAGCCATATTCCGTCTCAGCGTCCCTCATTTCAACACTCCGGTCATGCTCTCTTTCTGTTAAGCTATTCTTTCTCCGCAATCCTGTTCGTCTTTTCAGCTGGTTAACATGCTGTCAAAATCGACGCCATAAGCTCGCTCGCTCGCTCCCCCCTTTTTCTCTTGTTTCTCTCTTGTTTTCTTTGTTTTTTCTTCTTCTTTTTTTTTCTTCAGTTTTTCTCTCTTTATTTCTCTCTTTCTTTCTCTCTTTCTTTCTTTCTTTCTTTCTTTCTTTCTTTTTTTTTTCTTCTTTCTTTCTTTCTTTCTTTCTTTCTTTCTTTCTTTCTTCTTTCTTTCTTCTTTCTTTCTTTCTTTCTTTCTTTGTTATTTTCTTTCTCTCTCTCTCTCTCTCTCTCTCTCTCTTTCTCTTTCTCTCTTTCTCTTTTTCTCTTCTTCTCTTTCTCTCTTTCTCTGTTTCTCAGTTTAATTGTTTCTCTTTCTCTTCCTCTTCCTCTCTGGCGCTGTCAAGCAGCCACTGCCAGAGCGCTATGCATCAACACTAGAACACAATGGCAGATCTCATTTTGGGTTGTCTTGTGGTCCCCAGAATCCTTGATTTAGTCAAATCTGGGAGGTCCTTCCATCAACTCGGTGGACTGGGCCAAGCGCTTCCAGGCCAGCGATTCTCATGGCTTCAAGAATTGGACCCCCCAAACTGTTTGGTACCCTTTTGGTTTGCCCATGGATCCCCACAAAACAGGAGGTCTCCCCAGAAAGCAATGTCTGCCACAATGAAAAGACCAATTGCGAAGCTCGGGACTGCCCACGCACGAGGGATTTTGCTGTGGCACTATCTCCAAACCAGAAACTTTTGCCCCATACAAATTGGGGTCCCCAATTGCTCCACACGCCTCTGTTGCACCCTGCAAGTGAACCGTTCTTTCAGAAAGAACTCACAAGGCATGCCATAAATAGCTGTGGCCGCCTTCTTAATTCCTTACATGGTTCTGGGTAGACCATTTTAGTATCGGGTTTTGATTGAGACTCAGGTATAGTATTCTCAACATGTGTGTTGGTGCTTGGAGACCTGGTGCTAAGACCCCTTCCGACTCACCGGACTCACCTGCGGCTTCACCCTGGCGCTTAGGATGCTGAGACCTTGGTGGTGCAAAGCCGGCAAGTCGACTCTGAGGAAGGGTGACAGCGAGTCGGGAGTGGAGGGAGCTGGGTTTTCAGTGTATGTGTGACGTGCATGCAACTGGAAATGCAATCAGGAGCAGAAAGCACGGACAGAAACTCAAATGCGAGCACAGCACGAACACAAAATGCACACGCAAGCAAAAGTTCGTACAGAAACACATGAGCAGTGCTGGCCTCGCGAAACCCAATGTTTGGGCCAATCTAGGTTGGATCAAAACTACAGCACTGAAGTCAATGATGCCATGGTTCATTTGTCACATTTTGCGCCCCTGTCTGTCTTGCACTTTCGAGTCAGGCGGTCCGCAATCAACGGCACGAGGCGGCTGTTGCTTCCAGCAACCTCAGTCGCTTCTCTCGGTGCTTCGGACGGATTGGCTTCGGACGCGGCGTCCGAAGAAATCTAAACGGGCCCTTCTTTACGGGTGAGTTCCGAGTTTCTTGCGCTTGTTGTATTTCTTGGTGCCATGGCGCTTGTTGCCCTAGGAGCGGAACGCGGACGGCCCTGGACCGGCCGAGCCAGTCGACCATGCGGGCGGGCTTCGCAAAGATGGCCACGTCGCTGCGCATGTCCCGCATGGGCACAATGAAGCGCGACCAGATGATCCAGGAGGTCGAGAAAGCGGAAAGCGAGCCAGGCGCATGGGCCTTGTTGTCACCACGGATCTCTCCACTAGGCTGAACAGGCTGGATGGAGGCAGTTCTGTTGATTCACGCGCAGCCTTCAGCTCGGGGTTGCAGTGACTGTCAGCCGCGGGGCTTGAAGTCGCAGGTTTAATCTTTGAAACTTGTGTTTTCGCCTTTGCTTGATAGTGTGACTTACTTGGGCAACTGAATGTTGGTACTCTCTGTCATTCCTCTCTTGCTCCATGTTTCTATTTGCCTTTCTTTCTCTTTATTTTGTTGGTTTTCAGCGTGTTGACTGGACTTGGTTTTCTGCTCGGCCTCCTTTATTCCGATTTCATAGTGCGACCTTCATCAAGTTCTTCTCTGACGGCTTTGGTCAGGGCCAAGTGGGGGTCAGGCTATGGCAACTGGATCCAAATTCATCGCCTGCCTGACGGTGCCCTTGCAAAGCGGGGCGCAACCATTCCAAAGCGAACACAAGTTTACTCAACTGTCGACCCCCTGCCAATCGGATCCAATCCACACCAGTACGTACGTTCTTGGGGCGTTTTTTGCTAGTCACACCAGGGCTACGGGGCGTCAGCTTGGAGAGCCGCCTGAAGACCTTTGGCATGCACCTTGTCCGGGCTTTGAGCGTTCGTCTCTGCGGCTTTACTTGCGGACTGTCGGACTGATGGACATGGCCGATCTCAGACCAAGGAGTGTCCCTTGCCCCCAGGAAAACAGCTGAGATTGTCTCAGGCCAGAGCTAGACCACTAGTGTCCCAATGTGGGGTTGGTAAACGGGGAACCCCCCCCCCAACACGGGGGGTGCCTGGAAGAATATCTTGGAGCTTCTTCCTTTTGAGACTTGAATGTGAGTTTCCACTTGGTTCAGCATTGCTGAAACTTTCTTTTGAGAGTTAGCTTTCCATGACTTTGCATTTGTACGATTGAGTTTCCATTGGATTAGTGTTGGTGGATTTGAGTTTCAATTTGATTTAGTATTGCTGGAACTTCCTTATTTTTTTCGTTTGACCTTGTATTTGTGGATTTGAGGTTCCATTGGATTTTGTATCGCTACAACTTTCTTTTTGAGATCTTGATTTGAGTTTCCATTTGATTCAGTACTGCTGGATTGGGGTTTCCATTCGATTTAGTAGAGCTTCCTTTTGATATTTGATTTTGAGTTTCCGTTTGATTTGGTATTGCTAGAACTTCCTCTTGAGATTTGGATTTCCATGACTTTGTATCTGTGGATTTGAGGTTCCATTGGATTTGGTATGACTAGAACTTTCCTTTAGAGATTTTGATTTCAGTTTCCAATTGATTGAGTATTGCTGGGTTGGAGTTTCCATTCGATTTAGTAGAGCTTCGTTTTGAGATCTGATTTTGAGTTTCTATTTGATTTAGTATTGCTGGAACTTCTTCTTAGATTCGGATTTCCATGACTTTGTATTTGTGGATTTAGGACAACTTTCTTTTTCAGATTTTGACTTGAGTTTCCAGTTGATTGCTGGATTGGAGTTTCCAATCAATTTAGTATGGCCGGAGCTCTTGTTTTGAGATTTTGATTTCAGTTTGCAAATGATTGAGTATTGCTGGGTTGGAGTTTCCATTCGATTTGGTATAGCTGGAGCTTCCTTTGGGAGATTTTGATTTGAGTTTCCGTTTGATTGAGTATTGCTTGATTGGCATTCTTTTGGATTTGGTATAGCTGGAGCTTCCTTTTGAGATTTGATTTGAGTTTCCATTTGATTGAGTACTGCTGGATTGGAGTTTCCATTCGATTTAGTACATCTGGATCTTCCTTTTACGATTTTGATTTGAGTTTCCATTTGATTGAGTATTGCTTGGTTTAGTATAGTTGGAGCTTCCTTTTGAGATTTTGATATGAGTTTCCATTTGATTTGCCGAGCCAGCTCACAAAAATACAACAACAACAACAGCTTTTCAAAGTCATGTTTTCTTATATGTCTCTTGTTCAACAACTGCCGCAATCAAACCCACAAAACGGGTGCTTCAGGCCCCCCAATTTGACTTTGTTGTTGTTTTGATGGTGTCTTTATTCCGGTTGTTTATTCTTGCTGCAGTTTTGAATCCCATTTGGACAGTAGGCACATTTCATTTTCTCAAAGGCGCCAGGAGGCCTTTTTTTCCCCCCGTAAGTTTGTTTGAGTGTTTTTGTGGGTGGAGAGTAGGTGTATTTTTCAACCTGCGGCTCCACAAAGGCACGCACACTCGGTGACAAGACCGAGCCGAAAGCCACATGTGTTTCAGAACCCGGAGCGACATGGGCTATGTGAGCTTGAGGCTCAGATGGACATGAGGCATATTTGGTGTGCTTGACGCCTCTTAGGCAGATGGTGGAGATGGAGGGAGATGGGAACTGCCAGCAGCGTGGCTTGATTTGTGCCGCAGGCATCTTCTATCGGGGCAGCGGCAAAGGCAATACCTTGCAAGGCAGCAACACCAGATCAGAAACAAGTATTGGACTCTTGAGGCAGCTCTGGTTTCATCTGTGCCCCAGACTTGCAAGGTTTCGGACCATAGCCTTCAACCTCTTCGGCAACCAGGCCCAAGCCTCATCCTTTGCCTTGCTTGCCATACCTGGCTTGGACGTGCCTTCCCGAATGAGCGCAACGCAAGGAACATCATGCTGCCCCTCGGCAAGCTGCTGTGGCGCACATGAAGATCCAGATCTGCATTTGGCGGTTTTGGAGGCCCTGGGGTTGTCTCCGAATGGGGGCCCGCCCCAAAATGCGAAATGGATGGTGTCCCTTGGTTGCCGGTGTCTGGAAGGATTTGGCCGTTGGACCTGTTTTTTTGGGATTTGATAGGTTTCTAGAGGGGAGTTTGGTTTCTACGGTTTCTTAAAGGGGGATTGGATAGGTTTCTGAAGGGGAATGTGACAGGTTTCTTAAGTAAACCAATCCCAAAAAATGTGCACCTTTAAAACGATCCATTGCTCTGAGTTGGAAGGAAGCCGTTTGACCCAAGGAAACACACTGAATTCTTCGGTGTCTTCTTCGAGGACCAGGCGC